TGGCAAGGGGAAGTATAGCCGCCATTGCCAGACGACCTTCGAAGGTCTTTTCGCTGAAAAGTTGGCTTCAGCAAAGTAGGTGTGAGGTTGTAGTAATGAAGGCCATCATTGAGTGCAACTGCAAAGTAAAGGCTAAAGATTTCAGGTATCCATAGCTTCAAAGCCCGAATTGCAATACTAGGGTACTCCAACGCTGTTCCAACAGTAGATTTTAAAGGAAATTTGTTGTGTGAGTGCAGTCAGATAGCCCCCCCCCCAATCCTGTTCACTTATTCAAACCACAGCAATCCCCTACTCTCCTTTCCCATTCTCCAGTTCGCTCCGCATTCTTTTCACAGTGTTTAGGAAACCTTTTGCAGCAATTATAATTTTGTTATAGTTTTTTCTAACAGATATGGATCCATATGATATAAATTATTCACTTTCATGATTTTAGTGGAGTCCAGTCAACCATTCACCTTATCATCAAGAAGTATTTTTGAATACCTTTACCACGTCCGAAAAAATAATCAAATATTAATCTGTAAAATTTATCCTGAACACACTGTACTCAAGTTAGGATAAGATCGCCCTCGATGTTGTGATTTAGACAAAGAAATTTTGGCTAAGCAAGTGGAATGGTCACCCTAATTAGCAGGAACGCAACTAAAATATTTTCGTTCATGTTTTAGAAAATAGCTAAGAATGTGAGTGTAGGAAGAGGGAATAAGGAGAGACGCGTGGGGATTTAAAGGTAAGAGATATGCTACAAATTGATCAAAATTTGAATAAAATGCATTGCAATACCAACCTGCAGGCAATAATTCAGAAGATGTACCGTACTGTCGAAAATATCATTAGAAACCTCCGAAAGGATGTTCAAGTCACCCACCAAGCTCTTGGCCATTTTAAACATTGTCAGTGCCGAAGCTGCCGCCTTTCCAAGACCTGTGCTGGCAGTGGACGGATCATCAGCCAGAGAGGTCAGGATAGACTTAAGTGGCTCGTAGAAGATTCGAGTAACGAGATTCAGAGACCAGTTGGAGTTCTTGAGAAAGGCTTGAAGATCACGAAGACACCCCTCATAAGTATCGGTGTTTCGACGAACTAGAGGCATTTCACCGCCTGTAAAATCGGCAGAAGTGGAACCCAGTAGACTAAAAATATGCTAAAGGGAGGAAAAAGGTCAAATTCATCATCAGTATACATGGAGAGAAACTCTCAATTGATAACTAAACAAAATAATCCAAAACCAAAAGAGATGGAGAAACTCATGCCTACAAACAAAAGACAAAGAGTGCGCCGAAATTTTGATTAAATCGAGAAGTTAATCCGACATATCTACCAATGAGGAATAAGTAAAACAAAGAAGAACGAAAAGGAAGGATCAATAAAGGCCAGAATTTTACTATTGAGGAGAGTACAAATTTGCCTGGCAAACATTAAATACAAACCTAATAGTTGAGTCTGACTGGCTCACAATGCGTCACATATGTTGTAAGTATGCATTAACGATTAAAAAAGACAGACGAGTTTATCTCAAAATCTTTATCAGTGAGATCATTCCAATTACTGTTTCATAGACCGCGGACTGATTACTTCTGAGTTCAAACTTGCTCGAAATATGTTTGTCAAGATAGGCAGAAAAATTACGAATTCCCTTCCTTGATGAGGCTAACAATCAATGCCCACATGATTAAGTTAGGGCTGTCAATCGATCCCGATGGGCATTGAATATCAGTACAGCCAGCTCGACTCAAATCACCTGTCAATCAATCTAATCACATTTACCCATAGAAGGGCGTGGAATATACACACCTCATAATTTTGTACGCCCTAAGTATCAGCCCATTCAGCTGGCACACATCTTAACAAAAATGGGTCTCACTCGCCCACCTGAGGATTCCTCCCTGCAATCAATAAGACTCTCCAACCACCATCCCCTTCTTTTATGCGGTTACAATTGAAAGAAATTAGAAGTGCGATAACCCAGTTGGACTTGGATTCCCTAAAATACTAAGTTTTCAGTTACCTTATTCTAAAATATTAGGAAAACTTTATCCAGATGGTGGGTAAGTTATTCAGGAACCATTCTTACAAGGAACTCACATTATATCACTTCTCAATTTAACTAACATTAAATAGAGTTGTTGATCAGCCAATGAGATAGGCCATTCAATTTAGGGCTAGTCGAAAAAAACGCCTCCTAAATCTAGTGGAAGCTGTCTAGACTGGCATAAATCACTAGCAAATACCAATAACTAAAAGGCCGACAATCACAAAGAACGGAGTAACCTAATAAATATAGTAGACGAAAAGAAAAATGTTTAACTGCAAAAAAAAACTGGGAACTTCATTTGCGTGTCTTTCAGAAGCACCGCGAGAGATACGCATCATAATGACGAAAATAATAAGACATTCAAAATCTGTCTGAAGCAAAACAAACAAACCCAAACGTATGCAAAGTATGTCTAGTGGAAGGAGAAAATGCCTTAACTTATTGGCTGTTGAACCGGAATCTTACCATCTTCCGCGTGGAAGAGGTTTAAGCAAGGTAGTTAACCAATCTCATTAGTGTATGCGTTCTAATAGGTTTTGAAGCCAAGCCACATTCCTCACGTTCGAAAACTCATTACCAGAAGAGAACAGTTGGCATGCAAGTGCTCGTTTAATCTCCTAGTGACCTGCTTAAACTTAGAAATAAAGTCATGCCTTAGAATTGTGTTTCGGAATATCATAACTCTAATTACATCAAATAGGATAGGAAGAATACTTGAATCTTTCCATTATGAAAAGCACCATTCAACTGAATAAGATTAGAAGTCCACATAAATAACATCTAACTGAAACCTTGGTCCTCTTTTTAAAAAGATGGCACTTTTAAATTAAAGAAGAATGCACCCAGAAAAATGATTAAATACAACGTTATACTGTTATAGGAAAAGTAGATACATCACTATTCGCTATTCTATTTCCATTTCATAAGTTCTGGGGTTATCGGCAGTTGAAAAATGGAGATATCTTGTGAAGACATGAGTAAAAATATGTTGCGAACACACAATTGTCTAAGGAAACAATCACTTACCTGAATATCTACTGAAGTGATCATACTTTCTGACGACTCTCCGAGCTCTGATCGGTAATTGAGGGCCGTCTAAAGGAGGCACCAAAACTGACGTCAGTAATAAAGTTCACGTGCAGTAAACTCATTTATAGAATATGCTAATTACCTGGACAATACTGCTGAGCATATATTCGAGAATTTGAACAAAGAGGTAGGCAGTACCGTTGTCCACGCGACCATCAACCATCCTCAAGTTATTCACGATCTTTTCGGCCACTGGCAACACCGATTGCTTTTTGCCTCGCCTCTCTGCATGGACACGATAATCATCCAATTGTTTGTCATCTGAAGGATTAAATGCCCAGTTTTTGTTTCATGTAATATTAATTAATGATTTATAATCGGACGTAATAAGCAATCAGATCGAAAAAATGGAAGAAGATAGAGTATATAGTGAAAACGGGTAGCTTAAATGTTGAAACAAGGAAATCTAATGATTGTCCTACCATAACTTCATGAGTCAAGCACAATTTGAATAAAGCTAAAAAGATAGCTAAAATAGCACGTTCAATAAGAGGAGCAGAATTCATACAAATTCCTAGAAATAATATAAGTACATGTAAGTTCCAACAACAAGTCGACACCCGGTTTATCGCTTATACGTCGAGTGGTACGAATTACAACTAGAATTGGAAAATAACTCGCATTTAGGACGAATAAAAACAATTCTTGAGTTAATAATCTAGACCGACTCCATAAAACGAACGCTCCATATTTATTTCCATGCTCCCATAATGGGTGAAAGAGAACCGCAAATTAAAATATATATGCAAGAAGTATTATCGCAAATCAAACTAACTCTATTATCATCTGCCAGTATCTTTCAGATATATCGTATGCCAAAGTCAACTTCAAGAAAAATTAATTCCGATATTGTAACATGAAGCAAAAAAGCGAGCAATCCCATCCAAACAATAGGATTTTGAACGATTAGTACGAAGTCCCGTCTTCAATCTCAACTTCTAAATTAGCCCTCCTTTTCTTAACGCATTTCAGAATATTTTAATGTGGTCCATCTTAGGATGATTCCCTTCAATGAAAAAAAGCTGTTGAATGCCATTGTTGTGGATAGTCTTATGTTAATGACTAGCCTTTCCAACAAAATAATAAGATTTCGAAAAATGGTGCTAATTAAGTGCTAAGAGGCATTCGTTCCAAGTATATAAAGAATGACATTTCCATTGATCTAGTTAAAAACTAGTAATTCGAAAAAAACTCGCCATATAGCAAATATAACATGCTAACATCAGTAATTGTTTGGTTTTCAAAGGTAAAATGATGCATAGGAAGTCTAGCGGACAGAAAATGTTTTCCAAAGACACTGTTATCGTGATGACCAAAGATTACAACATACATTCCATAGAAATTACCATTGATTAAATAGTTCCCACTCCGTTATATAAAATATGAACAAACTACGATTTCGAAGTCTTAAAATAATTATGAATGCCATTTGTAAAATATTTTACAAAAACTATGCCAGTCGTATTCGTAGATAAATTAAAAATAGACTGCATTTATCTGACAATCAAAATACATAACAAGGTTCAAAGTGAATTTCCCGTATTGACACACTACAATAATCATTCAACATAAAACTAAAAAATCGAATCAAAGTAAGACGATTGTCCAAGTATTCATTTGATGTATTTTACCTTACCTGGTCTAATTTTTAAAGGTAGTCCAGTAGCAACACGGGTACAAAGCTCTGTTGCAGTCAGAGGAATTGAAGGCGTGCACAGATACCGAATGTAGTCGAAGACATTCTCAACAATGCATGCTTTGGCAAAAGTCTCAAAACGAACCGAGTGGGGAGTAGCCAGTAACCCGACAACAGCATCACATGAGAGTTCCAGAAGATTTGGATAAAAAATCCGACTGACAATCGCCGCTGATTGAAGGGTGGTAGAAATGCTAGGGCTAACACGTGTGTACTGATGAGATAATTTTGACATTATTCGGTAAAACTTCAATGAACTAAAATAGCGACAAGAATAAACAGTGACGAAGGAAGCATACACATTTTGAAAATAGTAGCGCTAATAAAATATGAAAGAAAACGATATTTAAAGGCTAAAATTAAAATTGAAAGAATGCCAACTACCCATTAGATTAAATAGCATATGTTTTACATCAATTACCTAAAATACGGGGAATTCTCATATTGGATTTTTAGTAAAATATCATACGTGATTTCAAGGTCAAACACTATCAACATTAATTAGCATAGTAGTGAATAAAGCAAATATATGTATGAATTCTTCGATACGACTTATTTTTTCGTTCTAGCCAAATTTACTTTTGCGGAAGAATTCATTTACTCTATCAATTATTAAGACTTTGAAAATTCGGGCAGTTCCAATACACTGAATTAAAAAGTAAGTAATCATGCGAGTTTAAAACCGCGTTTCATGACCACGAATGCTGCATTCTATAATCTATAGCCAATTTTTACTACTTTGACTGTAAAATGGTAGAATTAAATCAACAGTTTTATGCTTATTTTATTCGATTCGCTGTGATTTGACTGGAGTTCATTAGATTCTCCGGTACTGAGAGCCTAAACGCCGCAAATATAAATAGCTTTCTGATGCTATCGTCTTGCTATATTACAGATGAAATGCTTTTAAAATATTCCTGATTAATCACTTATCTTCATCAATAGAGAATAATATCTATTAGACCGAATAAAAATTCCCATCTCGTAACTAAAATTAAAATTAAGTTTGCAGAATCAATTACACAGAATAATAATGATAATATAGTTTACTTCATATTCTCCTAATATCCTCTTTTGGCCTATTGAAGGATTGAAAATGTTTCGGTTTACATTCGGCTTAATCGACAGCATTTTGGCTAAGTTTAAGGTCTTATTGCTCTCCCACGCTGCCCTACATAATAATACTTAAAATGCTTACAGCCACCAAACAACCCGATTTTGGAGCAATGATTACTATCGAAAAGAATTTAAACTGTTATTACATCTCTATTTTCCCAAATATATAGCATCAATCTTTGTAGTTATTTAAAAGGATAACTAATAGCCGATTTAGTAATTAGCCAACCAAATTTTTCATAATCACATTTAACAAAAGCAATAAATAGATGATAACGTAATTATTTACAGATAGAAAATCTACATTTAGAAAAAATAACCTTAAGTAATTGCAATAAGTTCAAAGTCAATGAAAAATACAGATTTTTAAAAATCGAAATCTGAAAAGTAAAGCTTGTTGACTTGAGGTGAAAGAGATCTCTCGGTTGTTGATAGCCTTGGTAACGTCTCTGTGCAGCGAGAATAAAAATTCGACACATCCTCAATATCCCTCTAAAATTGTGGAAAAATTGTTTGATTAAAATGCCGATATTAACTTTAATGCTTTAATAAGGAATCAGCATAATTGGTGATAATTTGGCTATCTAAATTTTCCTAGTTTTAAATCCTTTTCTAAATGTTTTTAAATTATTGCTTATAAACTATTGAACAAATGCTAGATTTATTAAAGCGAACATACGATTTTGGGAACGAATGGAGGTTTAACTCGTTGCATCAAAATTCCCTCAAAGTCTGTATTGGCGAAGAAAGGATGCTTCTTGATTACTGCGCTGCCTCCAGTGGTTGCCCCCAATCGTTTAGAAGGACTTTTTTGCATAAGTCTTTTGATGATATCTCTAGGCTTGTCGCCAACATTTATTGGGATTCTGGGTTCTTGACGCATTATATTTTTGTAAATGACCTCTTCAGAAGCCCCAGCAAATGGGCACTATAAAAGTACATAATTAAAAGTTGTCAACACTTTTGCATAAAATCTACTGGCAATACTTAACTTAATTGTAGTTAATGCAAATTGATATGAATTCACGTCAAGGAGCCCTAATTTTCTAATATTGATTAAGTATAAGAAAACTCAGTTTTGAAACCCGAGTTGTCCACTATTAGTAAATAAGGAAACAGTTTAACCTAATTAGGAGAAAATGGTGTGTAGTATGAAGAGCAATAGTAACTACCTTGTTGACAAACTTTATTAATCTTTATACTTAGTTACTTCCATTTCTCTAAGAAATGTTTCATATTAGGGCATATAATACTGACTGACTTGGAAGAACCTGTGGAGAACATAGCTGAACCAAGATATCTCATGTACACTCGAACAGCCTGAAAGGTGGGGTCATGTTGCAGAACACATTAAGAAGCAAGTGTGGTTGTGAGTGCAGAGACCTCTTGGCCAGCCAACAATCAATAGACGTTGCATTGTTAGTCTAGTCTTCATTGTATTTGAATGGCTAGTTCCGAGTTAGTGTCGAACAACCAAGAAAAACATTTTTTATCCCATACAATCTGTTTCCATGAGACTGTTAAGGTGTCTTCGCTAATTTCGGGAGCAATTTCATGCACGGTATCTTTCTATAGGGACAATTTAACTGTAGTCAAGGCCTATTTGTCTAGTAAGTGTGGCTACCTTAATTAACCCTTAATTTGCTACACTACTCTAATTATAAGGTCTGCCACGAAAGTTTGCCCCATATACAAATCTAACTTACACTACAACCCGAAAGCTTTCATTTATATCAACTTTAGAACAAAAAAACAAATTCGAACGAACTAGTTACCTTTCCGACAATCATTTCGTAGATGAGTACACCTAGACACCACCAGTCTATAGCTCTAGTATATCCGTTTCCGATTATAATTTCTGGTGCCACGAATTCTGGAGTTCCACAAAAGGTATTTGTCCTGTCATTTGGTCCTGTGCATTCCTTGCATAGCCCAAAATCAAGTAGTTTTAAGTAGCCCTTTTCTGTTAACAGCAGGTTCTCCAGCTTGAGATCACTGAAAGAATGCAAAAAAACCAATGACGAATAAGAGCTTTAAAGCTCCTTGCTAGCATAGTGTACTGAGATTCACTGACCGATACATGATATTGTTATCATGCAGAAACTCCAATGCAAGTACAACAGAGGCTGCATAGAAAACAGTTTGTTGCTCAGTGAATTTTCCGCGTTGAATGTGCTGCATCAGGTCTCCTCCAGGCATGTATTCCAACACAATGAACGCATAGTCCTTCAATGAAAAATGAAAAAAGAATTACTGGAGCTTTCCAAAAGTTAGCCTATCCGAATAAGCGCTCGTGGACGTTAAAAATTTAGAAAAAGAAAACGTATTTCAGTAAGTTAGATGAAAATTACTAATGTGGATTCCTATGGAATGAATTAACACAAGTTTTGTAGAATGAGAGATAATGATTGAATTAGAAAATACTCAGATTCAGTACTATATTCTCACGTTTGAGCATAAAGGGGTTGTAATTAGGATTATTTAGGAGCAGAGGTATGAACACCATCGGATTAGTTTATGGTCAGTAGGAAAATAATTTTGCTCCTACTGGAAATATAATACGACTTTGTGAAATTGTTATTCATTAAGAGAAATCTTCAGAACAAGATGAAAACGCAACTAATCAACGGTTTCCTCAATAAAAAATTAGAAGTAGAGAATAAATATCTATTTGACATCTGATTTGAAAATAGTATGGAAGAAGCGTGACTGACCGATCAATCGAGAAGGGTTTCGGACTTTGTCCTTACTTTTGGACTTCAAGTGAACCCTTCAGAATAAAGACCTATCCAGCTAAGTTTCGTTATCCCAATCAAGAGATGTTGGGGGTTCATGTTCCATTTAGTAAGCGTTAATATTGGATAACGAAAACTTTCATGAATGTGATGTTTTTGACTTTTATGTGACACGGTATGCTCCAATCAGTTGAGGTTGACTTACCTGCTGTTGCATCCATGCGAGCATATGGACAAAGCAGGGATGCTTCTTTTGACTAACAGTCAACAATACTCGCTTTTCAACCTTCAAAGTGTCCACATTGCCTTCTCTTAATAAGTCAATTTTTTTGAAAGACTTCAACGCCACATAAGTGTTATCGCGCTTGTGTTCAGCCAGAAAAACTTTGCCAAATTTTCCTTCACCCAACACTGCCACAAGACGAAAATCTTCAATGAGGGGCTTGGTTTGAGCTGGTTCATTCGGAGAGTTAACTAAAAGGGGCAAGAAATCACCGCTGTACTGTTAAACTGATCCGCAATGAAATCACTACTTACATTTCACTCCCACATGTTCTTGAAGTAAAAGATAATTATAAAAGGGCAAAAACTCAACTAAAAATATACCACTAACTAACTCAAGACAAAATCTTTAAGTATGGGATTTTGCCATCTAAATTTGTCTTTTCATTTATTAGTATTTTAGATAATTAACTATTAGAGAATTCGATTTAACAAAATTAACTAATATCGACATTCAGTTTCGAAAACTTTGAAATATTATGTGTTACAATTTTTAAAAATTTTTTTTTAGGACTTCACTTTCAATCGAATAGTTTATATACACTCAAATGGTTTATGGCGAAAAATGTTCTACAATATTCCTCATTTTCTAACTGACCGGGAATGGAATGTGTTTCACCGCTTCCTCTCATGAGTTCCCTCACTCGTTGGACTATTAATTGGCCTGGTTGAATAGATTGAATAAACCTCAGTCCAGAAGATTCTGAAATTCAAAAAGGATTCACATCAGTTAAAAATTGTACATTAGTCTTTCATTAATGTTTGGAGTTTACCAAAGTATATCTTTGAATTGTAACAACTAGCAAGGAGAAAAGTACTATCTCTAAGAGGATTTTTACCGGTAATTGAATTTTGTAGATTTTTAGTCGATGACTCTTGTCTATTCTCTCTTAATGCTCTTATATGGGTATACGATAAGGTGTTTGTGGTTCTATAACCCACTTTGAACTAAGGAGCTTGGAACAAGCTCATCAACACTTTCTCTATTACGAGAACTTAATATGTTAAGTGCTAAATCATTACAAGATGGGCTTGCAGTAGCCTACTGTCTCAATAGCTTGTTGAATGGTAACTGTGCACTCTTTCCAAATTGTCCGGTTCCGCACAAATTACTTGTCAGATTTAAAAGTCAATTTTCACCAACTAAGCACTGCCACTCAATTTCTATTTTTCACTAATTTCTTGTTGGTATCTAAGGTAATGTGATTCTCGTCATTTTTAATCATCTGATTTAAAAATTAACCTTTGTTCATTGGGACGATTATTATATTCATGGGAAGATACTCTTATGACTAAGTTTGTCAGGCACCAGATGAGTAGATGTAACGCAACTTTGTGTTCATAACCTTAAAAGTAGAGAAAACGCCTTAGCATTTAGGCGAACAATTTTTTATTCTTAAATTTAAAATTTTAATATTTGTGAAAATACGGATAGGTGGTACCGTCTTATATTGTTGGCCGTTTAAAATCCCTTCAGATTTAGACAGATATTCAAATCAATACACAGAAATGAAAATCTGATAAGTAAATTGCAAAAGTTCAACTTATCCTTTTAGCAGACAACACCACAAACATCTTAGCTAATTCAAGTTCTTACAATATTACCCTGATTCATCATTGGGTGAAAATATTTTCAGGGTCAATCAATGTTACTTAGAACGGCTATGCTCACCAATTCAAGTAAAGGCATGGTCGTGGTGCATAACCATAGGGCGTGGGGCAAATAGTCTCGTTCTACATCATTTTTCTCATCATCCTGCACATAATGGGATTAGATTTATAGTGATTTCTAAAGTATTCCACATCAACGGTGATATTTTTTGTTGGATTCGAAGAAATTAGATTACATAAATACGTAAGATTAATTTAATTAAGGGAGCATGCAAGTAATTAACACTGCAGAAGACAAAAAACTGAGAAAATTTTATCATTTCGGGATAGATTATATAAGAGGTCGGACCATATTATGTGATTAAGTTAAGCAGATTAATTTTACCTGGAAAATCAAATAATAAATTTATGCCATACCATCGATAGAGGTCTTCATATTTTCCTTAGAAGGTAGTTCAAGAGTGCACTTTTCATCGTTTTGTTTAAACTGCTTGCTTACTGGATTGCTATTCCTCCAGCTTCGTGAAATATTTTCATAATGTGGAACGCCTGTTTCTTTTTGAGTTACTAGAAAGAGAAATATCAGACAAATACAATTATACATTTCTCTCATTATATATTCACCTAAATCATGTCGAAGAGATGTAAACACTTCCCATTTCTCATAGGCATAATTCATTAAAAAGTTCCATACTTCGAGCTAGAACTCTAAAGTTAGACGTCTGGATGAGAGCAGTCTCTATGGCACGTATGAAAACACTGCTTCCTTGAGTTAGCTCTCAGATTCTTGCAACTGACTTCTACGCATCGATTTACAGTTCTAGGATCCACAGGCAATATTTCTTAATTGTTTATTCATCTGCAAATGAAATACACCGATGGAAGATCTTAAATCAACATTAGCTTATCTCAAGCCTAGAAATTGTCCCCTCATTGTTTATTTTGGATCAGAGCTCTATGTCAAATATCAGATACTAATTTAACAGATCATTGCCACTTAACTGGCCTTTTTTGCTCAACCTCGGCAGACCAAAATGCATTTATAGATGTTTATCAGAAAGAATTGATGCATAATTTTCTATTCATTAAGGCAATTGTCACCTAAAACTAATAACACCATTAAAATTCAATGATACAATCTTTAGCCAAATCCTATTTTAAATATTGAAGACAATTTAGTTTCCTTCGAGATTTCTACTTGAGGTAGGTTGGTTATTTGCAGGCAGTCCAATCCTCTTAAGATGTTCAGAAGATTTTGAGTCCACTGCACGGAATTTTTGATCGATGAATGTGTCCATGCGATCAATGTACTTGCCAGAAACTCGCATTGGTAGCGCTGAATAAATGAATAAAGAAAAATTTAATGTTGTGTAGTTTGAACAATAAATCATGCTTCTAGCATTCTGAAATATATTGAAATCTGATCAGTGGTATTTGAATTCCAATGTTTTCTGAATGCAAATATAGTAGGCTAATAATAGGCCGAATTATAGTCTGAGAGGAAAGTGAGTCAACAAGAAGAACGGGATCAAATGTGGAATGTTCATTCATTATAACAACCAAAATAAACGCACCATGGAACTGAGTTGAAGGGGGTTTCGTAGTGGCAACTGGTGGTTCCCCTTGTTGCGATTTTTCTGAAATAATGTCCTTTCTTTGCGAGTTACTTGAAGCGCTAATTTTACTTTTTCCTTTAAAGGGAAATGGAATAATTATTATATTATATAATATATATTATATTATAATTATTATATTACCTGAATCGGCTAGTGGTTTTTTAGGGATAGACGATTGTTCTTTCCGTTCTAAGTGCGCAGAAAGTTCTCTAATTCTTTGTTGAATTCGACTTCCTACTGGAACAGTGACCTTATTCAAGAGATCGAAACTGCTTACTCTGTTTTCTACAAATTAAAGCAAAGAAGTCAGCAATTCTTTTCATAAATCCAACTTTTCTTTCTATTTAAGAGTGAGTTAGTGGAGCAAATAGAAAGATTTTGCAAATTTGAGGTGACCAATGAGAAAAATTAAGAAAACAGGGGTTTGCATTTTATTTCATTGATATATTGGCCCTATCTCAGTTATTTTCTGACTGTCATATAAACTTAATAATAAGTAAACTTCATTTAACTTAATGTAAAGCCCAAGATGATCGAAGAAGTCTCACAATCTTGATGAACCAAATTGAAATGCGCGCCTGTACGTAGACTAGACCAATATGGAGGTCGCACTGGGATCTCAGTGTATCCATTGGCTAGATCAGGCTACATATTCATCGGTCGCTATTGCTTATTCTCACCATTTGCAACCTTTATGCTTATCAGGCCTATTTCATTCTCTAACACACTTTCCATATTTCCTGCCTTATCTATCCAGTTTGCCTGAATAAAAATCCATTTAGAACACGCTAAATACAGTACCATTATGTTACTACTTTACAAATGTCTAGCCAGTAGTTGGTTCGTTCATTTTCACTTCCTTCTATTCTATTTATATTTCATAATTGTTATGATTACTTACGTTCATTATTTGACAATTGATCTTCATGTCTTATTTTGGGCTCCATCTTGTATTGAAGTGGTTTCGAAATCAATGGAGTTTGATACGGAAGTGGTGATTCTGATGGAGGAGTTGGTATTAAGGAGGGTGGTGGCGGATAGGATGGAATTTCTTTTCCCGTGACGGCTAACGGTTTTCCGTCGTTCGAAACATTGTTGCCCACGGTAACTGAAGATGGCACTATAGATACAGAAATTATGAAAAAATATCGTTTTGAGTTTAAGTGGCGGGTTTCAGTAGCATAGTCTGAAGTTTTTCAATTAAGTAAGGGAAAATGCTTGTTAAAATCAACACATTGAGCTTCAGAATTTACCAGGCATTTCAAGATTCGTTTGTTGAAGTGAATAGGAATCGGTATCCCTTACAACTTCGTAGCCATGAGACGAGTAGGTCGATTCCGCTTTAGTTGCTGAAATAATTAATAGTAAGTTAATCGTTTGAGTTAAATATTTTTCAGAAGTAATCCATTTCTTAATATTAAGTAAAGCAATTTAAATTTGCTTAAATGCAATTTGATAAATTTCCTAAGCTTTTTTCACAAAGATATCTACCAGTATGCGGACTTTTGCTAACTATTCAGTTTTCGAGGGATTAGCTTTAGATCATGCCTTCCACAGGCATCAAACGAAATCTATACTGACAAGATGCTTCCCCGTTAAAGAAAAATTATCCATTTTGAACTCCCTTAAAGTGTCTTTGTTATTGTTCTAATAACACAAAGTACGAGTGAACCTTTTTTTAATTTTTATCTTAGTGTTGTGCTCATATTAAGCAACGTAGTCTCTCCTGACAGGTCGCGTCGGTAGCTAACAGACCTGCGTTCCCTGACTTGAAAGCCAAGTAAATGAAAAACTGTGTCCAACAGTCAAATCTTAAACATCTTATCTTCCTAAGCTTCCTTTTTAGAAGTGAAATTTGAAATAAAGTTAAGTTATTCCATCTGTTTTGAAAAATTTTTTAGCATTTTTGCAATTGATTTAAATAAAATAAACATATCGAATTAACGAGGACGAAAAACAAATTTGTTTTATTTGAACGCAATGTTTGCATGTTTTGCGGTGTCCTTGAATTTGAAACTTGGCACTTTGCTAAGAACTAAGGATGTGACATTATCGAACTAAGTAATAAATGGAATCCATATTTCCTTTAAAGAAATATTTTATTCTAATATCTTTGGGAAATAAATTAATCAATATTCCAGTCCAAGCAAAAAACTAACAATTTTTCATCGTGGAATGCATCTTAACAAGGGAAATTGTGGAACCGTCCCATTTTTTGTCCAGAGAAGGGGATTATGCGGAAGTACAAATTTAAACAAGGGAAAAAATAGCTTTGGATTCAGTTAGGCTGTACATCCTTTAATTCTCGAGTTATCGTCATAATAAATGTTTGAAGTTTTTATTGCCAAAATCTTAGCAAAACCAAGCAAACCTTAGGGGTTCATGATTTTTACTACCAATGGCAAGATACTAACAGATTCAAATGAGAAAACGAAATTTTACAAATAGTAGAACTCTTTAAAGCCTATTCATGGATTAATCTAACAAATAGTATGTTGTTTATTGGTTAATTTTCAATCTGTAATTGTTTATTGTTTAATAATTTATGTAGATAGAAAGCAAAAAAGGAAGAGATTTGACTTACTTGGATCATGCCAAGTGTTGAGCTCCCTCTTGGGCTGATCGATATCTTCATCCAATTTCGGTGGCAGAGGTTCAATTAATGGTGATGGAAGTAAGTCTCCCGATATCAGCTGATTAACTTAAAATAAACGGAATCCTTTAGAATAAGTTAGTTGCATAAGAACGCCTGCATGTAGGTATTAATCATCAAAATATAGAGAGAATCACTAAATTAGGACCTCATAACGTGTAACCCCGTGACGCAATGAAATGGCTGAAATGAATGAATTTTAATTATAATTAATTAGTCAATTATGATGATTGTCGTATCAGGGTTTTTAATACGTCATATTAGTGCCATTAAAAAACCACCTCCCTATTGGGAAAAATTCACCAATTCAAAAACGCAAAGCCGAATTTAATACTGCATCCAATTTATTCATTTTCTTCAAACAAAAAATATGCAAGGTGCCATGTAAATTGTAGAACGAAATCGCGTGACTAAGAACTGTCGGTTAGGCATGAGGGAGTTAGCTGCGCTCTCGTAAGAATCAAGGAAACTAAAACACTGCGGAAGAGGCAAAAATGTCTAAAAGGCCATGGGTCTTGGAAATTAGTGTAAATAATGACTACTTGTGCAGGAGCAACATCATTAGCAGTAGTAGTAGTAGTAGAGTGTATTAAATTTTTGTTCTAAATAACAAATGGGTGGGTGGAGGGGTTGAGATGTGTTAATCTGGCCTTTAATCAACGTCACTAGTAGTGCCTCCTCTTTCTCTATCGTCTGTACGCCGATGGTTGGCGCCTGCTGTGGTGTAGGGGCCGAAAGTCACCCGCGGATCTTGGCGTGTCTACGGTGAAAGAGGTAAATAATGGTAAGGATTGATTTGCTCTCTAACATAGAATTTCACTTTCGGTGTGACTCCAAGACTGTCCTCGGTAACTCTAGGCCCTATCAGCTTTAATTACCCATCTCACACCCATTTCTTTTTTTATTAAAATCGCAAAGATCGATGTTTTAAGTAAGCATGTAAGTGCTTGTATACATTATTGAACTTTTGAGTTTGCCATTTTGCTGACCATAATTGCATTGCGTCATCCACTTCCTAAATATGACTACTTTCACTTAATCGATTTCTAAGATTTACTCGCAAATTTCAAACGATCTACTTCACACTTTCTTCCAAATTTTACACAAATCATTTGCATCATGTCTTATTTCTGTATTGATCCTTTGATAAGTGCTTATCTGAGATAATTCACTTTACCCCATTCAGTTTCATCAGCCATTTACAACAAGATTTTGACTTCTATTATTAATCTAGTGATATTAATTGTCAAATCATTTCAAAATATTAAATGCCTCACTACCCTTAAACAAATAAATAAGACCTGTTTGTTTTCATTTAGGCTATAACATTTATTATAGCTCAAAAGTCAATCTGATTAACCCAATCAGAATTTCGTCAACTTCTAATTGACTTACGATACTTAACCTCTCTTAGTTCTTTGTATACAAATATAAATAATCTTTTTTTTATATTGATAGGCAAGTAAGACAGGAAAAATTCCTGCAAATCAATTCAATTTCCAGGTTCTATCTACCGGGACAGTCTTGTGGTCTTGAATAAAAAGCAAAGATTTCCGCAAAGCATGATGTTTGTTAGGAAGTGAAATGAGATGGAAATTCCAATGATATGAATGAAAGGTGGATCTTGTGGGACAAAAACACCACTTTCGTCCCAGTTTCCTGTGATGGAACTCACATTCAATGTTTCGAAATCTTAAAAAAATGTAGATGAATAATGGTTCGAATGAGTGCTTGAAAATGGTAACAATATTAATAAGATGAACGAAATGTGCAAACAAACTTGCCAAGTGGCGTTACTGTTTAGGAAAAAATATTCGCTCATTCATTTTACATGAAAGAAGTTTATTCATATAATAAGTTCACATTACTTCAATTAAATTTAAAATAGTAATCAGATATCATTATTTATAGCATTGAACTCTATTTGCACATTAAAAAATGTGCAAGGCATTTTCAAGCAGTATTTATAAAAACAAATTATTAGATACCGGTTTCGAGGGTATCGTCTAGCCCTACTCCCCCACGTGGAGTTTCATTGGACAAATAGTTTGAATTGTCGCTCCTAATGGTTGCTCCTTGAATTCTAATATTTGGAGCGGGCCCGGTGACGGCGTATGATGCTTCTAAGTTATAAATAAAGGAGAAGTTAAGCATCCAAATAAACAAATAAAAAGGACATAACAAAAAAGTGTAAAGTTAATCAACAGGATTAAACGCCTAATTTGCTCAAGTTGGGGGGGGGGAGTGAGAAGGGCTGTTTAAAAAGAAGTCAATAAAACCCCCAAAATCATATAAGTAAAACCCGATTGCAGTTCTATATTAATTATATTTTTAGATTTTACCCAATGGACATAGTTTGTGGCATCACGTTCTAATATTCAAATGTCAAATTTCTGGATATTGACCATGTGTCCCTTAGTGAGGGCGCTTTTTCTTGTTGACAACTGTCAGTGCACTAATAAATTATTTTCATATTTAATGAAGTACAATTTTAACAACCAATGTGAAAGTAGTTAATGCAAAGTAATTTGGTTTTAACAAAAAAATGACTAAACTGGTTCTAATCACTGCTTTTACTGCTGATAGATTGATAATTTGATCTTTTAACTGCGTACTTTATTTATCATATATATTAATTAAATAAGTGAAGTAGACGACATTAAAAGTCATCTTAAAATACATATCCTAATCCATCATTTTGATGACTGAGTTTTTTGAAACTTCGCATTGAATTTGTGGGACACGTTATCGCTGTATGCGTCATCGTATGCCTGCATGTCTGCTCGCCAGGGTTGGGAGGTGCGGCCGTACAACTCTGTGTGCAGCGACCGTACAAACAGTGACCAATCATCAACCTCTGTTTAACCTAATCCCCCATCCTGATCATGAGTAGCTCCATGCGTGTACACCTTATCCGCAATACCCGTACTGAATAAACGTGCTCCGTGCTACGCGTCTGTTTCCTTTATAGCTGGGTTATAGCTTAGCTAGTTTCGGGAGTCTAGCTAGATGTTGGAGAATTTGCCATAGAGATTTCTGAGTCAGTCAGGCTTTACTGGCGTAGCAATCCGCTACAAATTAAATCCAAAAAACCGAAAGTAATACCACTGAAAAATAGTGAGAGGTAAAATATTTACTTTAGGCTAAAGTACAAAATTTTGAATTCTTTTTAATTATAATGTTTTTTTAAAAGCTCTATGTCTGGTTCTTTAACACTATTTACCTTTTGATTTTCGTGGAGTTGAAACTCGATTTAATCGCTTAGTAAGGGGGATTTTTTAATAGTCTTTCTGATTGTTTTAAACCAACGCTTTTTTATCTGCATTAACAATAATTCATTATTATATCTAATTCATTTTGATTATTTAATTTGGTGCCATGTACTAATAAGTCTCTTTGTTAATCAAGAGAATACAACGCATTTCCAACGAAGGAAATTTTTAAAAAGAAGTTTGAGACAAGGTATATATATATATATATATCCCTGTATATTCTCTTATAACCAAAAAACGACTCGATATGTCGATAAACTGCTCAGAAATATCTCACTTTTGGGGGGTTGATTGAATTAGACATTAATTGAGTCTGATAAGACGTATTCCGAGAAAATAGAATTAACCAAATTGGCAAAGTTATTGAGAACTGAGATCCTAACTCACCGGGTGTGTAACCAGCAATACGCACATCTTCTCCAACTTGGAAATTGAAACTATTGTTACCATTGTGATTTCGCGCAACAGGAGAGTCCATTCTTTCTTCTTGGTATCCGATACGAGGTTGGTGATCACGACCTTGATCGTCTGGATGTATTAATATATTCATAAACATATATTTATATTTTTTAAAATAATTCATTAATATTTTAATGGTAATATTTCATTTCTTAGTGTATTTTTTTGTACTAATTGTGTTCGCTCTGTCATACTTCTTACATAACGTCTTCTATTCGATCAAAACTTGATTGTATTTTACTGAAACAAAAGCCGATTGTTATAAAAATAACGATTCGTATTAGAAATCTATATTTGATTTGGGAAATATTATTTCGGTTCAATTAAAATGGAAAAGAATGGATACATTATTTGATATTGTTTGCCATTTTAAAAACTACCTTCTACCCTTGTATTCTTCAAGGGATAGAAGGAGGTTTCATTAGTAAAATATCTCCTGATTCACCTACTTTTGAGCAAACTTACTGTTCCTAGCCGAGGCTGATATGCCTATAAATCGTCTCAGCTACTATTATAATGACCATTATAAACAATCAATTCTTTTGAAGTCAAGATTACGAAAAACGAAATTGTGAAAGTAATAAGATCAAAATTTACCCAAGTAAATATCATTTCTTTCTCTTCGCAATCCATTGTCATTGGTATCTGCATTGATGTCGGAATCATAATCTGTAAACAAGTTAAAAACGGCTATATTAGATGAGATATTTTGGCAATGGAGAATGGAATCCATTAATTTGCGATTATGACTGAAAGCTGACCAAAGTATGGAATCCCGGAAGGTCTAGTGCTTTCAAACCTCATGCCATTTTCACCGTTTCTTTTCGAACTTTCGTGGTTATTATTGTGTCTCTCTGGCAATTGCGAATCTACAGTGAATCCATAAGGTAGCTTGTGATTTGAGTAAGCATCCGGTGAAGAAGATTCTAAAGGTAATCGAAATCAGTTTAAATTCAATGACGGTATAAAACTCTGCCCGAATATCCTTCTTGGGACCTCTAAATGTCCCTATAATCCAATTTTTATCCAATTTATACTAATCGACCAACAGCAAATAGACCTTTTCATCTTCTACTCCTTTCACATGTGAAACCTGTGCTGAACAAGATCTTCTTCTTTCCTGAAAATATTGTCTAGTTGAAACTTCTTTTCCCCTCATCTATTCCCAATCTTAATAATTAGATATCAGAACACACCAGTCGTATATGGAGGTCTTGAAATTCGAACATTAGGATAGTCGCTTGTCTCTGGCTCTGTGGCGTAGAGAATTTTGGAGGCACCATTAATTTTGGTTGGAGAGTAGTCTAAAATGTGGGTTTAAAGAGTTATTCTCGTATCGGATAGCAGTCACAAAAGCTTATTTATCGATCAAAATATACCTCTTCCCACTCGAACCGTTGGCTGTGCGGCCGATTTCGTTCGTCTGTGTCCTTTTTCATGACCATTTCTGCTTTGTGAACGGTCCCCATAGACTAATGTCACATTTTGGCCTATAGTGGAATGATAGACAATAAAGTTAGTCATTAATTGTAAACCGACTCACATTGAAGCTATATTTTGAGGATGACTGAAAAAAATTCGCAATTGGTACTTTTGAAGTTGTGATCAATCTATAACTAGTGAATAAGACCCTAGTGGAACATAGATTTAACCACTCCTGCTATATAGAGGAACTATTTCATTGAATCCTACATTAAGAAATTTGTCATGCCATTCCAGCTGAGTAGTCTGATAAAATACGAATGTCAAGCATTCCGCAGACATGAATGCGACTTTAGTACCTTTGGAAATTACAAAGTGAATTTATTTGAAACTTATTACGAGAAAGCGAACAGCTCAAGACCTCCAGAATGTTGCTCAAGTGCAACTTCATTTATTGGATCCACTAGTTTCCATAGTCTGGTCTAATTCTGGGTTATTTTTTTATATTGAAAGTGAAGATTACAACGGTTAAAACTTGAAATTGATGTTTATTACTTTGCTATGGGTATTGGTTTTAGTTTCTGGAAGGTCATTCTGTTCAAAGTTAGTGTGTTTGTAAATAAGACTTGCAAATATCAATCCCCCAACGTAAGTCTTTGAAAAATTAAGCCGATTTCATGAGTAAACTTATTGTTGGTTTAAAGGATCTAACTCTTCAGAACTCAAGTATTGGCATATCCTATTTAAAAGGTTTATTTCGACTACTTACCGACTACCCTACGTTGTTTAAATGAATTGTGCCTCGCTTAATTGCAAGTAAAAAATTAAAAGTAAAGGACCTATGCTTAAGTAGAACTTAAAATAGGAAGTAGAAATTAAAATGAAAATCTCAACATAATGGCGTCTTTCAAAAGATTTTAACTATTTTATATAGTTTATAAGCATCTTCACAACACCAAACTCAATGAATATAATTGAATTAAACAAGGGAATATCGCTCTTAGGACCGAAATGAGTTAGTTTAGTATCGGGTGGACTCGATGCCACTTAGCCACAATTACAAGGAAAAAATGTTATTAAATCAAGTCCCCAATGGTAATGTCATTGTTAGGTTTGCTTTACACAAAGGGATTAATAATGATTTAACGAAAAGAACACAATAGTAGCAAAATAAGTTTGATTTTAAAAGACTGAATTTAGTATGTGTTAGATACTAATGTTACGTGAAGCTTTGTGATGAGGTGGAGGTTACCTCGAGGGATACGAGTCTGCTGTTTAGGACTAGGTTCACGCGCTCGAATAAGAGCCACCGGACGGTCTGTGGGAAGCGTAGTCCGGGCTCTGAATGGGCTTACTGAACCTGAGGTAAATATCAGAAATAGGAATGAATTTCTAAGCGCAAAAGGCTGCTTTTCACATAATATTGGTAAAATTCGATGCACCGACCTCAAAGATACATCGACACGGTTATTTGCCTTTTGTAAGTCAATCCTATTCCACCTTTAAATTTAGAATAGCACTTAATTCAAAGTGCTATTTGCTTCAACCAACTTGAATCTTCTAATACAAAGCATTCATGGCAAACTCCAATAAAATTCTTCAAAATCTGACACTAAGGCATCCGCCTTAGAAACGCACATTCCTCAGAAAATTGAAGAACTCCACTACAGTTAATTAACTCACATTTGCATTCGCCCTTCACTTTGTTTTCTGTTGTAAATTTCCATTGGCAATTAAGACTAAGCCTTAATTTTTGCAATGTTTTCTGGGTCACTCTTACAAGGGAAGTCTGATGAAGAATAATTGAACCAATTGCAAATTATATCGTCTCGCATTCGATTTTTATAAATTTTTTGTAACCCTTATGATTTTGATGCAAATTATACGACAAAAATATAAGAATTAATGTTTTCATGAAAAGATGGCATCTTTTGGTCTGTAAATATACCACCAAAATCAGGAGAAAATTAGAGCATTCTGAAATCAGCTGCGCAAGGAAAGAGATTATTGACTTACAAGGGTCAGATATTTAATGCGCTCTTCTGAAATGGTGAGCACATTGAACTACATGCTATTCGGAATGATATGCAGTAACTTTTAAGGTGTGTTAAGGATGTTCGCACACACATTAACATTCATTCACAAGTTTTAACTTTCTTCATTCATAAACGTGATGACAAGGTGAATGGTTGACTGGACTCCACTAAAATCATGAAAGTGAATAATTTATATCATATGGATCCACATCGGTTAGAAAAAAACTGTAACAAAATTATAATTGCTGGAAAAGGTTTCCTAAACACTGTGAAAAGAATGCGGAGCGAACTGGAGAATGGTAAAGGAGAGTAAGGGATTGCTGTGGTTTGAATAAGTGAACAGGATTGGGGGGGGGGCTATCTGACTGCACTCTCACAACGAATTTCCTTAGAAATCTACTGTTGGAACAGCGTTGGAGTACCCTAGCATTGCCATTAGGGCTTTGAAGCTACGGATATCTGTAATCTTTAGCCTTTTTTTTGTAGTGTGCACTAAAACCTCACACTTACTTTGCCGAAGCCAGCTTTTCACAGAAAATGCCGTTGTCCATCGTCTGCTAAGTCGAAGAAACTTCTGAGCAAGATGAGTTATCCTGTTAAACCACAAATGATCTGCTCGGATACCCACTAGGATATGTTGCTCACCGTATTACTTAACTCCTATTTGACGAAAGAGGTTAGCAAATAACAGTTTATGCGTATGACGGTAGCGGGATTTGGCCTCCTACCACACCCCAGAGGAAAATAAAAAATGATCGTCAGCCAGTTCCGGTATATGCTTGGCCTCCCAACTCCTACTTACTCCAGGTCTTAGCCCACTGAGCTTTTATGTGGGTAAGGAAAAAACACTAATTGAAAGCCAGTGGATTAACGGATAGAATGGAAGGAGTTTTGAGATAATTCAAGGAAAATTGAAAAATTGGGTTGAGACTGGATTGAGAGAGCTAGTTTGATAAAAACTCTGGCATTAATCAAGCTTCCTTAACTGTTGAAGTCCTTTTAATTTCATTTAATTCTGCCGTTATAGGATACTTATCATTTCCCTGATGGGACAACCAAATTTATCCCAAACGTCAGTATGCAGAGACCACTAACAACTGCCGTCAATTATCTAAAGTCTTTCAGTTTTGGGGGTGATCCAGAAACAGAATGAATCGTATTTCATAGTATGACACGGTCCGTTCAAGAAAAATTAAGAGTTTTAGAAAGCGGGATAAATATGATCCTATCATTGCTTTTTTTGAATATCATGAACTAAAAATTAACTTTGATGATAATTACTCAAAATCTTCGTAAAGAAACAACAAATTAGGGGCAGGAGAGAGAAAAATAAGATAAATTACTCAAATTCTCAGATTTTCTAACTTACAGTGGACATGTGGCCATTAGTACACATATTTTTCTGACACTCTAAAAAACTTGAATTTCCTTTCATCTTGCATGTTCCAATTTCGTGCACAAGGGTTATGATATTTTGACACCAACATTCAGGACATGCTAGAAATGTTTTTTGACCCTTCACTTTAGCTTGTATAATATTGTCTATAGATATTAAAATGACAATTTGCTTAGGAGTGGCAAGTTGTGGTTCCTCCTCAAATACGTTAAATTCGAATGACATTGTCTTAGCATCAATCTGATAAAAAATAGGGGCCTTGACAGCAGTCTTTGTTCTTTCTTCATTTAGATCTATCTCTTTTCTGGACTCTATCTAAGCTTGGTTCCAAATTGGCCTGGTGTTTCCCTTCAAATCAACAAAGAGTAAGTTACTCCTGGGCTACTTCGTATTGGTAGGATGCTTCAAATGATCTTATCTTCTCTCTTTGGTGTTATCGATAATTTAAATTCACAGATTTTTGCTCTACTTCACTTTAATTTAAAGGAGATTTACAAATGTTTATCATATTTGGATTAGAAATGATTAGCCTATTGCCTCAGTTACTCCATAGCTCTTTTAGTTTTTAAATATTACGAAGTTCATCTACTTCGGAATATTATAAACTATGATATTTAGCACTTTCAATGATATTAATAAAATGTTGCAATAAAATTTGGGAAGTAGAAATAGGAAAAAAGCACTCATTTTGAGATATTTTTCATTGCGTATGATTTCTTTTGATCATTACGAAATAAGAATAGATCAGCAAAATTTAAAGGTGACGAAACGAAAAAAAACGTCACTGTAAAACCTCCGTGAATGTAACCATCAGAACTTAAAATCAAAGTCAAATCTTGAATAGAAAATGAAAAAAATACGAAAGTTCATTATTAAGCTTCGTAGATTTTCCCTTTCAATGCTCTATATTCTGTTATTTCTACATTCTTTTGTCCATATCGTTTCCCTGATACGATCTGTAAATAAATGGACTTTTTAATAGTATTAGTAGAAGCGTGAACTCTGTTATGTTAAAATCGTGTTAGTTCAAAATATCAGATGCCATGACTATTAGAGGAAAAGTATTCGCTTAAATGACATAAACATTCATCCAAATTAAGCATTCAAGTTCTGGAAATTGAGGAAATATCTTATGAGGAAGTGAAGCAGAAGCTTTAAGAATGAACAGTGGAGTTTTTATTCGGATATAAGATGAAGCAGGGCGTTTTTATCTCTATAACTTATCCTTAGTGTTATGCACTTAAACATCCTTCCCACCTCCACCACACAAATCCCATAATAAACCTATTTTCTGTTGTCTGTGTTTAGAAGCTTTCCACCAGTAAGACGTTTCAAAATGGTGCAACATCTTGTGTGTTGCCATAAAACCCAACGATTTTCTTTAAATTGGAAAGATTACTGTCCAATTTTGGTTTCCATTTTATGCTATTGTAAATTATCTAAAAAATATGATTAAAATCTTCAGCTTGTGAGCACTGATCGATTAAAATTAAAATTTCTGAATCTGCTTTATAGCTTGCACGAAAAAATAGCAAAATACTAGTATTTTTCAGTTAGAATTTATAAAATACTTATCCGATGTAATCAAAACTGAAATAAACTAAATCAAATACGCGATGGAAAAATAACTCAATCCAAATGATTCATATAAAGTAAATTAATAATGAAAAAAACTAAATAATCCTTCCTTAGGTTGGTTTACCATTGTTATCAAGGGAACGGAAACGCAATATAATTGTGGGGGTCCCGTCATCGCAACTACCTTTATTTGCCAAATCTAAATCAAATATTACTCATGCTTAATTTTCGAATCGATAAAAGAGCAAAGTTCAATGCAGTATAAAAGTTAGCTTAATGCAACAAAAGTATAATAACTAATGCGCAATTATATTTTATTCGTTGTAGTGTGTGCAACAGGGCCTAACGTGTATAAAGGAAGCAGCACTTCGCTTTTGAGCATATTTCATTTCAGTGAATAAGCTTGCGGCCCAGTTCAATTACCCTGCTTAATTGATTTAGGGGCATTTGCTAATGGAAGTCAATGCATTTGTTTTATTTGCACTCCTTAGATCAAAGAAGGTTTCAAGTAAAGTAACGGACAAGAAAGGACATTTTTAAATGGCTTTTATTTTTACTATAATGTAAATTTGATTTATGTACGAACATTTATCTGTTTTACACTTTTGAAAGCCTAATTTTTGCACATATAAAGTTTGATGCTAATCTTTAGCCAATTTTTTAAAATTAAGAAATGAGTTTGTTTTATAAATCAATTTTACCGTTCAATGTGTCTATTTTTCAAAAAGAAAAATCAGGTGCTTTTAATTTAAAGTACATTCGTTTGTGAGGGGTGTGCGATAGACTTACCTCCACGTGGCACACCCTGGGCAAGGTATACTCATACGGCAAAAAAGTCTATTAACCGGCAGTTGACTTCTCACTTCAAACTACCATGGCCCGACTATTTGTCATATTCGACCCCTTTCACAGAACTCATCTTACCTTTTTCTCTACCTTTGTGTCTGTCTGCCTCTTTTACATCTGTGAATTGCTCTTCTGAACCCCACCCCTGGACTTTCTGCTACTTTGATGAACCTTCCTTCTGTGAAGCCCGAAGTCAGCTAAATGGCTAATGATAGCTATCATAACGCCTGCCATTTG